AGAGAAGAAAAGGAAGAAAAAAAAAAAAAAGAAATCAACCAGGTATAGAGGCACAATTGGAGGCAAGATGATCAAGATTCAAAGCCATCCTCAGGTGTATGAGATCCTGTCTCAAAAAACAAAAAATGCCCTTCTGTCCCTCACAGTTGTGAAGATGTTCTCCTGGCTTATTTTCACGTGGACTCTTCATTACATGTAGGTTCATTTTTGTGTATGAGACAAAGTAGGATTAGCTTCACGCTCTGTATGGATGACCAGTTGTCTTGTACCCTTTATTAAAGAGTTCTTTTACTGCACTAATTTGTAAGTCACCTTCATCTCCTACCTGTGTGTATGGGAAGTTGTCATTGGACTCTGTTTATATTGATGTAAGCAGCCTGTGTATTCCTGTTGCCACATTTTCTTTGATAGATTCTGTTAACTACTGAGGTCCATCTACTTATCTCTGCTTTCATCACATTACCTTGGCTATTCTTGGCCCATTCTTCCATACCATTTTAAGATCAGTGTATAAAATTTTGTCAAGCTGTACCCTCCCTGGAATTTTGATTAGAATCATTGGTCTCTGATTTCTGTTGCTTTGATTAAATACTGATCAAAAGCAATTTGAGGAGGAAAGGGTATATTTCATCTTACACTTCCAAGGTAAAGTCCATCTTTGAGGGAATTCAGGCAGGAACCTGGAGGCAGAAAGTAAAGGCAAAAACTATGCTGCTTACTGGCTTAATCCCCGTCTTGCTCAGCTTTTATTTATTTATTTGTTTGTTTGTTTATGTATTTGTTTATGTGTTTATGCATTTGTTTGTTTCTTTACGAGACAGGGTCTCCCTGTAACCCTAGCTGCCTGGAACTTCATATGTAGACCAGGTTGGCCTTAATCTCACAGCGATCAACCTGCCTCTACCTCCAGTGCTGGAATTAAAAATGTGGGCCATCACACCTGGCTCAGCTATCCTTCTTATATAGAACAGACCCACCTGCCCAGGGATGGCACCACCCACAGTGGGTTGGGCCCTCCTACATGAATCAACAATTAAGAAAATGCCTCACAGATATGGCATCAGGCTAAGCTGATCAAAGGAATTCCTCAATTGAAGTTCCCTCTTTCCAGGTGACTCTGATTTGTGTTAAGTTGACATGAAACTAACCATTACAATATCATTGATTAATCTGGGAGAGAATTGCCCAAATTGAGTTATTTTAGTCATGAACACTGTATATTTCCCCCATTTATTCAGGTCTTATATTATAGTTCATGTCTTTTAATTCAGTTATGTGTATTTTGTTTGATTACTAAGTTTGGGGTTTTGTTTAGTTTTTTTGTTTGTTTTGGGTTTCTTTTTTGTTGTTGTTGTTGTTGTTGTTTGACAGTGTTTCCCTAGTCCCAACCCACCTAGAAGTCACTATGTGGACCAGACTGCTCTTGATCTTACAGAGATCTACCTTCTCTGCCACCGGAGAGCTGGGATTAAAGGCGTGTGCCTGGCATTGAATACTAAATTGTGTGTGTGTGTGTGTGTGTGTGTGTGTGTGTGTGTTTCTGGAGATTCAAATGGCCTTGTGCATGCTAGGCAAGCGTTCACCATTGACCTACACTTCCAGCCCTAGATAGCTTTTTGAAAACCTTTCTATTGCAAGTAAATATTTAAATTTGATTGATTTCTGTTTTGTTTTCCAAACATATAGGGATGTTTTAAAAATGAATTTCTCTTATACATATGCTTTTGCTTGTTGTTTTGATTAACTGTGATGGATTATGGACTTCATTTTCTTTTTTCTTTTCCCCTTTTTGAGACAGTCTCCCTTGGAGCCCCAGCTGGCCTGGAACTCACTATTGGCCTCCAACAAAGATCTGCTTGCCTCTGCCTCCCAAGTGCTAGGCTTCAAGGCTTGTGTCTTTCCAGTCTTTATGGTTCTCTCTTTTTTTCCTCCCTTGTCTTGGTGCTTACTCAGAAGATGGCAAAGGGGACAAAGTAAATATTCTAGACTTTATAAGCCAGGGTCTTTTTTGCAACCACTCAGACTCCCATTATTGTGCATAAGTATCCATATGATATTATGGGGGGGGGGAGTCTAACAAAAATGCTGGAGGTTAAATTTTGAATTTCATTTATATATATTGTATGATGAAATAGTTTTTAGTTTTTCTAGTGGTACTAGAAATTAATACAGGGTCTTATGCATAGGAAGCAAGCCCCGTACCACTGAACTACACCTCGGCCCTATTTTATTTTTATTTTGAGACAGGTCTCCCCAAGTTGCCCAGACTGGCCTGGAACTCATTCTAACTCAGGTAGGCTTTGACCTTTTGATCTCCCTGCCTCAGTGTCTGAGGTTGCTGGGATTATGGCTACAAATAGTTTTCTTCTGATTTATTTCAGTCATTTAAAATGTAAACACTATTTTTAATTGAGTTTTTGCAATTTTCACAAAATATAGCTTGATGGTATTTAGATCCTCTCTTGTATCCGCATCTCCCTCCACTGCCAGCTGCCCAATGTAAAATACTCATATATAATATGACCTTATAGAGTCTGATTTGTGTCCCCAAATGTCCTTCAGTGGGGGTCTATCCATTGGGTCTCATCCCTATAAGACATTCTCTTTCCTTCTCCTGCAGCCATCAACTGCCAAAAAGCTCGTTAGGTTGGGTTGGGATTTCTTACCCACTTACTTCCCCATTTCTGTACTGAGATTTTGTCTGGTTTGAGCTTACATAGGACTTGTACATGCTGTCACCATTGCTGTGAGTTCATGACTAACTGACCAACTTTCTAACTGACCACACTGTTTCCTTGTGGTCATTCACTCCCTCTGTCTCTTACAGTCTTTCCCCCTCCTCTTCTGCAATGATCACTGAGCATTGGGAGGCAGAGGTTTGAAATAGGTGTCCTATTCAGGGATAAGCATTCTGTGGTCTCTTGTTCTCTTCACATTGGCCAGTTGTGGGTTTCTGTGTTAATCACTATCTGCTGCATAAGGAAACTTCTCTGGTGAGGGTTAAGAGATGCATTCATCCTTTGTGTAGACATTGCATTGAATATGTGTCACTTAGGGTTAGGCATTTCACAGACACTTATTCTCTGCATTTGACCAGTTTTGGAACTCTGTGATAGTTTGCATCTGTTGCAAAAAGAAGTTTCTTTGATGAGGGCGAAAGGTATACTTGTCTCTAAGTATGAGGATGCCTATTTAGAATATAGTAAGAAATTACATTGGGATATGGCAAAAGTAGGCTTTTCTCTAGTATCTATGACCTCTCCAGCTATGTATGTTTGGCTATATTTACAGTACCACCCATGAGTTCCCCCCTGTTGAACAGGCCATAAGTCCAGTTAGACAGGAGTTAATTACTCCCAAGATAAAAGTGCCAGTACTGCACCAGTAGTAATAGTTTGCTGGCCATTGTTGTTTATTAGGCTTCTATACAGCAAAGGAAACAATCAGTCAAGTGAAGAGGAACCCTAGAGAGTAAGAGAAAATCTTCATCAGCTGTCCATCCAACAGAGGATTAATATCCAGAATGTACAAAGAATTCAAAAAACAAAGAAGCAAGAAAACAAATGACCCATTTAAAAACTGGGCTATGGAGCTCAATAGAGAACTCTCAAAAGAAGAAATAACAATGGCTAAGAAACACCTTAAAAGTGCTCAACATCCTTAATGATCAGGGAAATACAAGTCAAAACCACTTTAAGATTTCATATAACTAACCCAAGGCAGACTGGCTAAGATTAAGAGAGCAAATGACACCAAATACTGTCGTGGATGTGGGGAAAAGGGACCCTCATTCACTGTTGGTGGGATTGCACACTGGTGCAATCTCTGTGAAAATCAGTATGGAGAACACTTAAAAAACTAAAATATGATCCTATCATATCACTCCTAGGCATATACCCAAGGGACTCATCCTACTGCAGCCATATTTGTTGCTGCTCTTTTCACAATAGCATGTGTTCCCATTCACACACACCTGTGTCCACACGCATGCACTCTGTATAGAAAAAAAAAAATCACTTTTCCTGGGCTTTATCAATTCATGTATTTTCAAACTATGAACCATTAATTGACTTGTATATTTTTTTTCAGATTCTTGGTTCATTATTTATCTCTTTATTGTTTATTTGATTTTTACTTTAACTTTATTACATGGTTTCTTACCTATTGAATAGAATACTTACTTCAGTATTCACTTTTCTGATACATGTATCAAAGACTACAGCTTTTCCCCAAATACATTTTAATTGTGTCCCAGAAATTTTGATATTTGGTGTTTGCTATTTTTATGTAATTGAATGCTAGTTTTATTATGTTTATAGAGAAGAGGTCTGTAATGTATCAAGTCTTTGAAATTTGTTTAAATTTGCTTTTCATCTAGTTTGGGCAAAAAGTCCATGGATGCTGGAGCATAATGTATATTAATAGTTAGGTATAAATGTAGTCATAGCATCTCATATATAGAGATAAACTTTTTTACTGTGTTGTTCACATCCTCTCTGATTCTCAGTAATGTTTTGTCTGAGGGAGATTTCCCTCAACCCTAATGGGACTCATAATTTGTTGTTTATAAATATTTAACACCACTTCCTCTATTGGAATATGAGCTTTTTAAAAACAGGGACTATGTTCAGACTGTATCTAATAAAAGAAGGTGCTCAGTAAATACTCATTTATCAACTGGATGGCTAAATAAGTGAATGAAGAAGTTACCGGGAGCATAGAATATCTTGTAGTGGCTGGTGGAAACTGGCTAGCTATGCTGGAAGGCAGGTACCTTGTAAGCCTAGCAGGTTACTGCCAGAGCCACCCAGAGTAACCCCATTGAGATAACAAGTCTTTTTCAGGATCCAGGTCTCTTGGAATCTACACACATAGGAACCCCAGACATTGCCTTCTCAAGTTAAAAGAATTGATAGAATGGCGATCTCTCTGGGGTGTTTTGACAGGGAGGCTGAGACTATAGACTCTCTCCTCAGGTATCTCTTTCCATCCGTCAATAGGTACAAGTTCTTCAAAAGGAGCTTGCTGTATCTACCTCTGAAGACACCCACCCCTACAAGGAAGAACTGGAGACAGCCTTAGAGCAGTGTTTCTACTGCTTGTACAGTTTCCCCAGCAAGAAGAGCAAGGCCAGATACCTGGAGGAACACTCAGCCCAGCAGGTGAGGATGATATCACAGGCCTGGGGAGGGGCAACTCCAGGAAGAGGAGTGCCTGGAAAGCAGGAGCTCCTTCAAAGGACATGAGATTTATTACATACTGCTGTAGTCCCAGTTGTACCACAAAGATGTAAGGAGGTTTGATCAAAGGACAGCGTTGTCCTTATGAAAATGTAATTTCACAATTATTGACCAGTGATTCAGACTGCAACATGAAATGACAAATTGTTCATAGGTTTATTTGCAGTTTGTATGCCATGCATAATTCCTTAGATAGTTTTCTTTCTGACTTTTGGGGGGGGGGGGCGGGGGCACTATTGGCTACATTATCTTATGCCAGCCATTATCCAGTCTTAGATATTCTATCCCCTAAAGTGTAGATTTCTTAAGACAGCACATCCACTCTGGCCCATATTTAGCACTCAATCAATTTTTATTGACTAAATTATTGATAGAGAAGCTTAGCTGTGGTGCCCCAGCCAGTCATGATTGGCCCCACCATCCACCTGAATCACATGGTCTTAACAGACCCAGACAATAGCCCTTAATTTCCAACATTTGCTTTTGTAGAAGCTAGTCTTGCTGGGCGTGGTGGCGCACACCTGTAGTTCCAGCACTTGGGAGGCAGAGGCAGGCAGATTTCTGTGAGCTCGAGGCCAGCCTGGTCTACATAGTGAGTTCCAGGCCAGCTGGGGCTACAGAGAGACCCTGTCTCAAGTCACTCCCTGTGGTGAGGCAGTTAAATGGCCAGGAATGAGACATGTCTATAATTAGAGAAGCATTAGGTGTTAGTGATCCCAGTGATCAGGGAGCCTGTGCCCAGTGCACTAGTCAGACTGGCTATTTCCTCTATCAGTCAAAGTCTGAAGCAGTATAATGAGGGGTGGACTAGCAAATTCCATGAAGTTGAAACCATCTATTAAAAAATAACTAAGGTTGCTGAGAAATGTTTTTGGAAATTACACACACTAAGAACAAAACACAATCAAAGACATACAGTAATAGATTGAAAGGTAAAAAAGGCAGAAAAAGAATTCTCAAAAAACTATAGCAAATGAAACTATTAATACACAATTTTTTCTCCTTAATATTTCTTTTGTTATAAAATAGAGGGGTTAAGAAAGCTGCACCAGGCCATTGCACTTTCTTAGAAAATATATTTGTTCAAAGCATAGAAAAAACGGAGCTGGAGAGATGGCTCAGCAATTAAGAGCACCGGATGCTCTTGCAAAGGACCTAGGTTCACACCCACATGGCAGCTAACAACTATCTCTAACTCCAGTTCCAAGGGGTCAGACACTCTTTTCTGGACCTATGCAGCATTGCACGACACTGGTGCACTTACATACATGCAGGCGATACACTCATTTAATAAAAATAAAAAAAATTAAAAAAAAAAAATAACTAGTCTTAGCACCGGGCGTGCACACCTTTAGATCTTGGGATGCATAGGCTGAAATTAATAGGAATATGTATAGGAGTGGAAAGCATTAATTCTTAGGCTCATTGTCAGCTATTTTTAAAAAATAATTCTCCTTTAAAAACTTAGGATGTCTTGGACTTTTATGTGATATTTGTTACTAGTTCTTAAAAGTCATTTATTAGACTAGAGATGTAGCTCAGTTGGTAGAGTGCTTGCTTAACATGTATAAAGGTTTGATTCCCAGCATCATATATGAGCAGTTGTGGGTGGCTCACATCTGTAATCTCAACACTTGGGAGGTGGAGGTAGGATGATTAGAAGTTCGTAGTGAGCTTGAGTCCAACCTTGGCTACATGAAACCTTGTCAAACAAACAAAAAATGAAGGAAATTGGGGGCTGGAAAGGTGGCTCAACGTTAAGAACACTCACTGCTCTTGCAGAGAACCAGAGTTTGGTTCCCAGCATCCATGTCCAGCGGCTCATACACACCCATAACACCAGCCCCAAGAAATGCAGTGCTCTCTTCTGTCCTCCATGGGCACCTGCACACATGTGGCATACAAGCATACATAGATATATACATACATACATACATACATACATACATACAAATTTAAAAATTTTGGCTAAAGTCAGTACTAAAAGCATAATATTTAACATAGAATTTTTATTATAATGTACATTACTCTCATTAAGTTAAATAGCTCAGTGTGATTGAGAGTTATAACCTTTAAAAAATTTTTTTTGATTTATTTTTATTTTATATGTTTGAGTATATTGTCTGAATATATGTAAGTGCACCCATATTGTGCAATGCCCATGGAGGACAGAAGAGAGCATCAGAGCCCCTGGAACTGGAGTTATAGATGATTATTAGCCACCATGTTGATGCTGGGATTTGAACCCCTGTCCTCTGCAAGAGTAGCCAGTGCTCTTAACTGCTGAGCTATCGCCCCAGCCCCCCAGCCCCGAGAGTTATAACCTTAATTACATCATTACAGTTATTTGCAGTGGTATCCCTAGGAGCTTGATATTGTACCACCCCCCTGCCAAAAAAAATATTAAGTTTATGCTTTTCAGACAGAACTGAAGATTACACTAGCCATGTAGCTTTTAAGACGTGTAATAGGGAACTTATTTTAGGTTATCCAACATATTGTGACCTCATTTACATTGAACACAATGTGTTTCTGTGAAGGAGCTTTTTAAAGTTCTTTTTCCCTTTCATGTACTATGAATCTGTTGTCTTTGTTTTTTCTCAAGGTGGATCTTATATGGGAGGATGCCCTGTTTATGTTTGAGTATTTTAAGCCCAAGACCCTCCCTGAATTTGATAGCTACAAGACCAGCACTGTTTCTGCTGACTTGGCCAACTTGCTGAAAAGAATTGCAACCATCGTGCCCCGCACAGAGAAGCCAGCTCTGAGCCTGGACAAAGTCTCTGCCTACATTGAGGGAATCTCAACTGAGGTGGGCTTCAGTGAATGTGAGGTAGTGGGGGTGACACAGCTGCATCAGGTCCTTTCTCCTCTAGCACAGCTGTATATACACCCTGGCTTCTTCCCTGCTTGGCACCACATACCAGGGCCAGGACAAGCCAGGGGCCTATCCTGTGTTGATATGATCAAACAGTCTTGAGTTCAGAGGCTACATCTGCATCCTTGACTCTACCTCGTCTCTTAAACTTTCTGTCTCCTGTACCAGGTGCCCTGCCTTCCAGAAGGGGCAGACCCCTCCCCTCCAGTGGTGAATGAGCTGTACTATCTCCTGGCTGATTATCATTTCAAAAACAAGGAACAATCCAAAGCCATCAAGTTCTACATGCATGATATCTGCATTTGCCCCAATAGGTAAGTGACATCTTACGAAGTAGATCCAGGCTGCTGCCAGGAGTCCTGGTGACTAGTTCATCCATTTCTCTGCTGAACCAGTTTGAAGTTTCCCTGCCTGAAGCAAAATCAGGAATGGGGGAAAATGACTTAGCAATCTATGGTTATTAGAAAGGCAGGTTCCCTATGAAAAGAAGAACAAGGGAGAAGGCGTCTTCTCACAGCTCCCTGGGAGGGGCATTGGGGTCAGCAAAGTACAAGATGACCTTCTGGGTCCTGGCGTGCAAGGCAAGGAAGCACTTCCCAGCCCCATACAGTTGGTTTTGTGCTGCTTCTTTCCTGGTTGCAGGACCTAGGACAGCCGTTGTGTGTTCTTGGTAGGTGACTGCAGGCGCTTTAATTAGGTTTGCTTTTGGGTTGGGGGTTAAGAAGGAATACTAGAAACACTGAAGCCTGAAATTCTTGTTCCCTGTGCTGTGACAAAGTTCACCATTGGCAGGGACATTTTTTCTGACAGTATGTGTAGGAGAGCCCCTATACATAAGGCTTGTGCTTTCCTTTTATGGAACCGTGTTGAGCCTTCTTCTAAAATATAATTTTCAGAACTGAGCATTCTGGTGGGCTCTGCTATCCTCATGAAGCCTGGTACACTTGACTAAGAGATAAGAGGTAAGCCTTGCGCATAGTCAGAATGAGGCTACCCTGTATAGCCAACATGTATATGAGGGCATAGTCTTGTAGAAGCAGGTAGGGGCTGGCCTATGGTTGCTATCCTTAGACTGTGGGTGAATGTAGTAGACTAGTCCTTCCTCAGGAAATCACAGGATTCACCTTTCCAGAATCTACCTCGCAAGGGAAGAAGGGGATGGGATCTGTGTTGGATAGCTTTAGTATCAACTTGACACACCTGGGTTGAGGGAGCCTCAATTGGAGAATTGCTTTCATTGGACTGGCCTATGGCCATGTCCATGGGGCACCTTCTTGATTGTTGAGTGATGTGGTTGTTGAGTGATGTGGGAGGGCCCAGCCCACTGTGGGTGGTACCATCCCTGGGCAGGTGGACCTGTGTTGCATAAGAAAACAGGCTGAGCAGGGGCCAAGGGAGCAAGTCAGTAAGCAGTGACCCTCCATGGCCTTCACTCCAGCCCCTGCCTCCAGGTTCCTGCCCTGAGTTCCCACCTTGGGCTCCCTGATGAACTGTGACCTGGGAGATATAAGACAATAAACCCTTTCCTCCCCAAGTTGGTAGTGGTCAGTGTTTTGTCACAGCAATGGAGAGATAAACTAGGACAGGATCTTAATAGAGAATCTGGTTTGAGACTTTCTAGCTTGTGGGAAAGGTCCTTGTAAGCCTCCATTTGCTAAACCTGTGGTTTCCTCCATGCAGAGGAGCTGTATGTTCAAATCCTTGGTTATCTTTGAAGGTCACTATCAATGTGATGGCACAGACCTGCACTCATACTGGATGAGTATATGCTGTGTGATACACTAGGGATCACCTTTGTATTACTGCTTCCCCATCTGAAAAGTGAGAGTCATAAAACCCACCACCTGCAGAGTAGGAGGCTTGATATGGTTCCTTTCACTTGTAGGCCCCTCAGTCAATGGAGTTAGGGTCCTAAAGGCACAACTAGACCGCCCTCTGATATGCATACCATCGGTTCAGAGGGTACCTACCTGCCAAGTCCAGCCCACTTGCAGAGGAGGTGTCATCTATGAGGACTGGCCCCAGTCCAGAAAGGGCCTTGTCAGCTTGGTACTAGGCCCAGCCCAGGGCCTTCTCTATTCTGACCTTCACAGGCAGTGGATACTTGGGGCTCTATCTTCTGTACTAGCTAAAGTAGAAGTTTGGATATTGGTTATTTTTCTGTTGCTGCTGTTTGTTTTCTTCTTTGAAGTCTTCTGAGTCTTTTGGCAGAGGTGAAACCCATGACAGATGACTGGGTGGACAGCAGGATCCTGAATGCACTGTTAGTTTCTGTAGGAAACAGTCTATAAGGATATAGATGACAGTTCTGTTTTGTTGAGCATTCTTTCTGCTTTTTGCTAAACTGTAATTGGTCCCAAATTAATCAGACATTTCACAAAGTTCCATTGGGAGGTTGGGAAGACCTAGTTTAGCTCAGTTTAGCTCAGTACTACTGCCCAGGAAACAACTCTGTGCCTAGTGCCAGGACCAAGCCTGCCCTGAACAAGTTAGAGCCCAGCACATGGACTCTGGATACTTCCTCCTCCTGAGGTTTCATTGTCACTGACCCACAGGCCCCTCAACATCCCTATAGGCTAGTACTTCCAGAGCATGGGTTGTATGTGATGCTCTGCCTGGATCACATACGTACATCAGGAGATCACTCTAGATGAGACACAGAAACATTCTTAGTTTTCCTGATGATGCGTTTCTGCTTTTGTTACTTTGTGTCCAGAGGTAGCAGTTTTTATGATATCATATAGGCAATCATAATGTGATCCCTTTTCTTAAGGTGAGAGTAAACAAAGTTGATGGATATTGAAAAGAACTTCTTGTGAAATTGGCCCTGGTGAAGAAGAATTTGTTACGTGCACACACATCCTTTCCCTTCTGGTGTGATGAGCTAAGACATGGTATCTTTGGGTTCCTAGGCCCCTGAGGAAAAAAGGCTACTCTCAGGAGCCACTCACATGAGGGGTAAAGCCTTCATCTTTGCTGTCCTTCTATCACTACTGAGCTTTTGGCCTCTTTCCCCCTCCTTTGTTCACATGGTCTTGTCCTTGGGTGTTAGAGTACAGTGAAAACAGGTATGAGCTCCACAATGTTCCTCTGCCTTTGCTCTCTCTTGGAAAAATCAAACAGCTCAGGAAGCCAGTGTTAAACTCATACTAGCTAACTTTAAGGTGTGATGGGCTAAGAGTTGTTGGTATATGGGAGGGTAGTAGCTGCCGTTTTGGCTGCTGCTTTTTCTGTTTTCTGTACCGGCACTCAGAATAGCCCTGCAGGATCCAAGAAATCACCTTGGTCTTGGTGTGGTGTCCCTGTGGCTGTTCATTTTCTCTCAGAGGTTTGTATGTTCTCAACTTAGTTTCTTTCAGGTGATCTCAGAATGGTGGGGGCCCAGCCATCACCTGGTCTTCTTCTACTGCTAGGAATGGAGCTGAGAGAACAAGGTCCCAGAGAGCACGGGAATAAGCTGGGTGGCGGGGGCCCCAGGGTTCTCACTACATGTGCTATTGCTTGGTGAGTGTATTGATGACAAGCTCTGCCTGCCCAGGAGCTAAAAAAGTGACATCTGCTGGAAGTCACCCTATTGACTCAGCTGGGCCTCTCTTGTGATGCTTTCTAGAGTGTCCTCTTTGTTTCTACCTGAGTAGGACCATAGGCAACCTTTAATACAGGGGAGTAGAGTCCAAAAGCCCATCGTGTAGAGAAGTTATTGCCTGTGAAGTGTTGAGGGACAGAAAACAATTTTGTCTTTTAGTGTACCTACACATCTCTCTCTTCAGGTAGTCCTTCTTAACTATATGTCACAATGTGGGGATCCAGGCTGGGACACAGTTGGTTCAGTTCATGGTCCCAACTATGTGGAGTAGCCAAGCTGGGCTCTGAGCTCCTGTGTGGGAACAGAACTTCCATAGTGTCTGCCATGCCCTCGGGACAACTGTATTTACCTGGTGCTTTCGTCACTACCCTAGGTTTGATTCCTGGGCAGGCATGGCCCTGGCCCGGGCCAGCCGCATTCAGGACAAACTGAACTCCAATGAGCTGAAGAGTGATGGGCCCATCTGGAAACATGCCACACCTGTCCTGAACTGCTTCCGGCGAGCTCTTGAGATTGACAGCTCTAACCTGTCCTTGTGGATTGAGTATGGCACCATGTCCTATGCCTTACACTCATTCGCTTCCCGACAGCTGAAGCAGTGGAGAGCCGAACTGCCCCCTGAGCTTGTGCAACAGGTGAGAAGGGATGCTGCAGAGCCTGTCATCCATCCATCTAGCTAGAGTGTCCCTGGGCATGCAAAATCGTGTCCCCTCTGTTCTTTGTTCTTATCCTCACATCACTGTGAGCTCATGGATGATTCTCTCTAAGAGATCTAAGCCATTTCATGGTTAGTTATAAATTTGTTGGTCTTCAGACACCCAGTCCAGGGAAGGCAAGTTCAGGGATAGGCAGTTGGGACCTGATTGGTCAGCCATCAATTTTAGCGGTAGGGGAGTGGTGTTGGCCATCTGAAGTAAGCACCTCTTTCCTGTTTGCTCATAAGAACTTCTGGGGCCATTGTAACTCTTTTTTTTTTTTAATATTTTATTTATTTATTTTATGTGTATGCGTGTATTGCCTGCATGTAGGTAAGTGTACCCATGTCGTGCAATGCCCAGGAGGTTAGAAGAGGCTGTTGGATCCCCTGGGACTGGAGTCATAGACAGTTGTTAGCTGCCATGTGGGTGCTGGGATTCGAACCCAGGTCCTCTGCAAGAACAACCAGTGTTCTCAACTGCTGAGCCATCTCTCCAGCCCTGCCATTGTAACTCTTGATCTGGTGTTAGGATTTTCAAAGCCTCTTGGTGTGGAATATTCCTCTAGTGCAAGATACTGGGTCCAACCTGATGTACTGCTCTGGAGAGCACCATTGTTTCCTTCAGATAGAAATGAAAGACTCATGTTGACATAGAGTTTTTTAAAGGGGGATTAGAGATGCTGGAGATCAAACCCAGGGTCCTGTGGATGGTAAAGACATACTCTGCCACTAAAAAGACATACTCATGCCAATAAATTTAAGCTAGCAGAGCCAAAGAAAGATGCCACAGCTCAGAAAGGTCTCTGAGGAGATGAGGGTATTGAAGGAGTCTGCTGGTCAGGCAAACAGTGCTTGGTCTCAGGTTTTGCACTGATCATCTGTGATCAAAACCCCAAACAAGATGATGGCATTGCTAACACTGCCATGCATTGTTGGAGGACTAAGTAATGCTGTCAGCCCACAGTTGTGCTACCATAATCCACTGAAAGCTCTCTCCTTGAGGGTGAACTACTGACATTTTACCAGGGGCTCCATTGCCTCCTAAGACCCTACAGAGTAAGACACAGGCTCCCAGAGCCCTTGAACTGTTCAGATGATGTTGAAAAGCATGACAAAGAATGAAACAATAAATTTCACACTGGTGATGGCTAATTTTATAACCTGAGTAACATTCCTAATTATCTACAGTGAGGAAGGGGCAACCTTGGGAGAATCATGAGTGCATCTCCTTAATGGGGACTGTGTTATAGTAATAGATAGTGAATGAAAGATCTGATTGGAACATGAAAAAAAAAATCAATAGCGGTAACAGCTCCTGAATTCCTGGGGAGCTTAATTTCTATCAGTTGTATGACGATGTGATTGTATTTGATTTCATCTTTACATCATAAATTTAGAAAGCTACTTTTGCAAAATTATTTGAGGGCTGCCTCTCCTTCTCCAGGACTCAATTCTTTGTGCTTTTCAGTCATATTATCTTCTCAGGCAGTGGGCAGCTGTGTTCCTTGTCCATCCTCCTGCATAAAGGTATAGATTTTCCACACTTGATTAGGACAGACTGGAAGCACAACTCTGGGCTTTACTGTGGACTGTTGCTGAGGTCGCATTCAGTGATGCTACCTCTTCCTGTGTGCTCTGGGCATCACCAAGCCCTGAGATCAGGAAGGTGGTCTCTGGGTTCTAGGGTCTCAGCATGTTGGTCCCAGTGTTCTCCCTCCTTCGGTGCCCAGATTGTCTAAACTCCAAATGAGTGAGGTATGGCTCCCATACTTGGCTTGGCACCAGGGCCTCTTGGGTGGTTGAGGGGCTTATTGAAAGGTCCTACCAGGGACCCACAGTCAAACTATGCTTCTGCAAGCTCCTGGGTGGTAATTTTGTTTTACATGTGACATCATAGGGATAGGCTTGGCACTGGTAGCAGAAGTCATGTGTGAAAGAAGTGGGTATGGAAATCTCTGCTGACAAAAGGCAGGTGTCAAGTATGGTGGCAGGGCCAAGTCCTGCAGCAAGATAGAGAAGTGCCTGCATGGTCTTCATCTTAAGCATTCCCTCCTTTAAAACATTATTAGCTAGTTATCCAGGTGACACTGTCTTCTTTAAAGTCATCACAGTATTAAGGATAAAGCTAAAATCCCTCTGTTGCTTTTCTCCCTTCTAATTTCTTCATTCCTTTATGAGCAAATTGTATCTTTCTAGACTAAAACAGAGGAAAATCTTTACACACAGGCCTGGGTGTATGTATTTTAAAAAATCTACCATGCTTTGTCTGTTAGTTTTTACTTTCAGCCAAGATGCTGTCATACTGAACAGAGTATTCAGCGTCCCTCTTCCCTCAGCACTAAGCTGTTGAGCTCTGTTCAGGTTCATTTCTGTGGATTTAGTGCATTACTTGTAACTATTTTAGTTACAAGTTACATTAGTAATTATAGTAATGTAACTAATAATTACATTACTTGCAACTATTTTTACCTGACAGTATTATATCTGTCCTGTGTGTAATCTCCTCACTGGGTTTTGTGTTTCAGTGGCCTCAGAGCTTCCTGCCACCCAGTGCTATAGAGCTTGACTCCTTGAGAGGGCTTGTAACATTAGGAACACAATCACCCTGTGGGGTGGGGTGGTTATTGATCTTAGGATCCCTTCCCTAATCTTCCAGCAGTGATTTCAAGTGGGATTTGGCGGAGTCATACTTTCCAGGAAATAAATATCCTGAGAGGTCAAGAGTGCTCCCTCAGCACTTTTTGGAGGGCTTTATTTGTACAGCTCCCTTCAGGCAGAGGCAGGAAAGAGTGGTAGACAGAACAGACTTGGCATCCCACCCGCCCTGTCCACTGGCCTGATTCTTCTACTTAGGCTCACGGTCTCTGAGATGATCTCAGTGTTGATCTGATGGACATTTGTCTCAAGCAACTTAGGTCCTAAGACTATACTACCAAGCCGTCTATCTCCCTGGACTATCAGGGTAAGCAGGAGGAGGTGGAATGTCTAGGGATGCAGGAGTCCTGGAACAAGGAGGAGGTTTAGCTTTATTATCTATACTGCCCCACATACTACATACATTTATGCATACTGCCCTGTAGGGCTGCCTCATGCTTCCTGAGACTCTTTCCAATTCTGAGGAGGCAACTTCTAGAATATTGTCCTCTGGTTGCTAGAGCTTATTTTGGACTTTCTGTGCCTGATAGGGATGGGCTGTAGGACATGTGTTTGTTATATCTGAGCTGCTGTGTTCTTTAGCTTTGGCCTGCAAACTTGCCAGAGGTGGTGTGGGGAAATGGACATTACCTATGATGTCAGTTCTAAGGCTTAGAGAAAGGCTTGGGGACCAAAGCCTCCTAACCAAGTAACTCAGAGGGAGTAACTTGACATTCTTACTATGCTTCAAGCTACAAATAAAGCTGACTATTCCTTCTCCCAGGCAGCATTGGGAGAATTTAGTGGTGATCCCTGCCTCAGCCATTTCCTGAGCCCCATGCATAGGTACCTCACACATGAGGTGCTGTGAGTGAGGGTACCCATCCTGTTCTGATAAGGCAGAAGGTGGGTGTGGAGCAGAGCTTCTGGACATACCTCTCCCTTTTCTTCCTGTGTGAAGTATTGTGACTGCTGAACTTACTAAGAACAGGGACATGTTGCAGGCATGTCCATATAGACAGGGCAGAGCTCATGGCTGTAGCAGTTTCCCTTGCTGATGACCACAGTTTATGAGTTTATAGTGGCCTCTCCCCTTACTCTGGTTCCTGAGGTGAAAAGAGGCTACAGCCTCATTGATATCAAGCCAGAGGCACAGTGAAGAAGGGCCAGAAACCTGGGGTACTCAGAACAGCTGCCCTGTGGCCCCACTTAACAGTCTTCACTTTGTCTCCAGTCTGGGAGCTCTGGAATAAAGGGACATTGGTGTGTGCTTGACAGCTGCCAAGGACTAGAGAAAAGCAGCTCTGCAAGTTGGAAGGCCTCTTGCAAGTTTACCCTCCATCTTGGGCTGTTTCTGTCCTTTGTAAAAGGATGCTTGCGGGGAGGCACTTGCTACAAATGCAGACTCCAAGTCGGTGGGTCTTGGATGGGGTTCAAGAATCTGCCTTTACAAATGCAGTATGTCCTTTTGTGCCAGGCATGGTGGTGCACACCTTTAATCCCAGCACTTGGGAGGCAGAGACAGAAGGATCTCTGTGATTCTGAGGCCAGACTTGTCTACATAGTGAATTCCAGGGCAGCTGGTGCTACAGGGAAACCCTGTCTCAAAAAGACCAAAAAAAAAAAAAAAAAAAAAAAAAAAAAAATGTAAAGAAGAGAGGTGAGAAGCTCTATTTTATCTCAAGTGCACACTGTCTCCAATGCTGTGAGATGGGGACTGGTGCACATTCTCTCCAGTGCTATGGGGTAAGGGTCAGGTGAGTATCCTCTTTAACTCTGCTTGCCTGCTCCAGTGGGAGGGTGGGAATGAGCTGCTCACTCCCTGCAATGGAGACTCAGCCCACAAAGGGCATGTATGATTTTTATGAGACTGATGAGATGGAGTTCCATCAGCCTGCTTCCTCCTTATGTTGATGGCTGATGGGCACAAGTCCTTACTGCCGCCACACAGTATTTAGTTGGGGGACTCAGAAAGAGATCAGCAGGTACTTCATGTACTCATAAACTATTAAGTGCTACAGGGAAAAGCTAGAAGAAAGGACGTTAAATGTGGGCTGGAGCACAGCGGTTAAGAGCATTTGCTGTTCTTGCAGAGGACCCCAGTTCAAGTCCCAGCACCCACATAGTGGCTAACAACCATCTCTAACTCCAGTTCCAGGGGAATCCTACGCCTTCTTCTGACCTCTTACCTCCGCAGACGTTGTACGACATGGGTACACTTACACACATGCAGACAAAACACTCATATACATAAAAATAATAAATATTTTTTTAAAAAAAGAAAGGGGGGCTGGAGAGATGGCTCAGTGGTTAAGAACACTGGCTGTTCTTGCAGAAGACCCGGGTTCAAATCCCAGCACCCACATGGCAGCTAACTCCAGTCCAAGAAATCCAACAGCCTCTCTGTCCTCTGCAGGCATTGCATGACATGGGTGTACTTACCTACATGCAGGCAATACACACATACACATAAAAATAATAAATAAAAATTTTTTTTTAAAAAAGAAAGGACTGTAAATGACCCGAGCCTCAGAGTCCAGTTCTGTACCTTTCTTGAATGCTTCTGAGAAGCCCCCAGGCCTCCCCATATCTCATTATCCATAGCTATATAGTGGTGACAGTAGTTCTGGGTCTCAGGTTTGTTGAGATGAACATAATCTGTGGACAAATCATATGCCTTCATTCATCCAGGAAAACTGTAATCCCTGGGCATGTTCAGGCCTTGCACCTATGGCCAGTCTGCAGGCTTGTGGTTTTGTTATAGATGGAGGATCGGCGTGACAGCATGTTGGAGACAGCCAGGCACTGTTTCACATCTGCAGCCCACTGTGAGGGTGACGGTGATGAGGAAGAATGGCTCATCCACTACATGCTGGGCAAGGTGGCTGAGAAGCAGCAGCAGCCACCAGCTGTCTACCTGCTGCACTATCGACAGGCTGGCCACTATTTGCATGAGGAGGCTGCCCGTTATCCTAAGAAGATCCACTACCACAACCCACCTGAGCTGGCCATGGAGGCCCTGGAGGTAAAACTGTACAGGTCCAGGAGGGACTACTCTCCCTGTCTCCCTGGGGCTGGGGCTCACAGGTCCAGTTACTCCCTTGCAACTCACTGGTCAGAACTCTATGCTCAGCAGCTTTGTGTGCAATTAAATTAAAGCAGCCTGTCTTTTCCTTCTCTCAGGGTGTTTGCCATTCTTTTGGGGAGAGTGAGCATTTTGTTCCGATCACTCAGAGGAAACTAGGCTTTCCTCTCCAGCACATGTCTAACTGATTCTGAGGGTAGCATCTCTAGGTGCACAGGCAGCCAGATCTATGGTCTGGCAGAAGGAGGTGAACTCTTGTCTCTGGGGTGCAGATGGGCACCCAAGACCAAGTAAGAGTATAGCTTATACCAAGGCCACCCAGCTTGAAAGGGTTGAGGTCAGGGTGAGCAGGCTGGTCTTAATCACAGAATTTTGTGGTTTTCTGTTGGGGTTCGGGTTTGCTTTGCTCAGCGGGGGACCTACTGGCTTCAGGGGCAGAGAGACTTGATGGGTGACAGAGTCTTGGACCCTGGGACTTGTGCCTTTTCAACAAGCCATTTATTTCAAAATTCAGATGGTTTTTATACATTCCGAGGATCTGGCAGTCATGTGGGATATGGCAGTCACATACAGAAATTTCAGGTACAAAGAAACAGGACATTTAGTCTGTTAGTTGGTGCCAGAAGGATGCTTAAGCTTTTACTCAAAGTTATCAATGCCATCCGGTAATTTATTGGCCACAGTGTTTTCTTTCTTAGAGTTAGAAGCATGGTAAACTTTTAGCTTTTAGCTCAGGAATAAACCTTTAACCTGGCTTAATCTCTTAGCTAAGGATTGCTGAGTTATTTGTTCAGGACAAGGAGATGAGCTAAGGGTTGTTGACCAAGATACTTTCCCACAGAGCAAGGAGCCTGCACTTAGGACCAGGCCGCTGTCTCCTGCCAGTCTCGCAGTGTTCTGCAAGACAGGGATTATCAGAGCCACTGTTTTCAGCGCCCCTCCCTTTAGCAGGGAATGCAGCCTGGACTTAAAAGTTTTAGGCCCAGCTCATCCTAGGGCCTGGCATCCTGGTTTCCTACAGTTTTCTTTCACTACTACTCAAAACAAGAGCAGTGATTTATTGCTGGGATTCTATTTTTATGATTTCTAGAGGAATTTTGTGGAGGCTCACATTGTTGTTCATAATAGTCCTGAGGGGCTAGGAAGCAGGGACCAGGATATTTGGGAAACAAGGGATAGGGGTAGAGATCCAGACATGCTTCATTCAGCCCAGGACAAGTCTCCCAAGGCCCCTGATCTTGCTAACTTCACCGTTTCTGAGGCTGTAAGCCCAGTGCCAACCAGTTCCACATGTCTAGTAAGGTTCTTGGAATTTAGGTAGACTGCTCCTTACTTGTTTTCTTCCTGCCTTTGTGCCCCTCCCCCATTATAAAATCTGTAATGTGTTCGTTTTTTTAAAGAGTCAAATAATTCAAAGTATATAAAATGTGAGAAGCCCCAGTGACCCTAGTTGTCTGCCCCATCCTCCCAATCTCAACAATAGTTCTTAAATGTCTAGATGTTTTCCCTATTGCCCTATAGATAGGAACACTGTGTCTTAGGCTTTTGCAGCTTGCTTTCTTATTGGACAAGATGTAGTAAATGATGTGGTGAGCTTTCCCACCTATCCAGTGCCTTCTAGTTGGGCAGAGCATTTGTTTATCAGCATAGCTCTTACTTCGTGGGTTTGATCTTTTGTATTTCTTTGCCTTGACAGGGTGCAGACAGTACGAGTCCTTGTGCTTATATTAAGGAGTATTTATGAGTATTTCCAAGTGCTGAAGTTTAAAGGCGGAGTTGCTACACTACTTACTGTCTTGTTTCACAGCATCTAGTTACTCTGAGAAATAATGCTGATGAGCATGTTGGTTCCCCTAACCATACCAAGACTCTCCTTTTAACGTTTGTCAATATTGTAAGCAAACAAACAAACAAAATAATTGCACTTGAGAAGTGGAGGCAGAAAATCAGGAGTTCAAAGTCATCCTTAGTTATATAACAAGTTGGAGGCCAGCTTGGGCTACATGAAATTCTGTTTCAAAAACCAAAATAATAGTAACAACAAAAACCCAGAACTCTGAATTTTTTAAATAAATTGTCTTTGGGGCTGGAAAGTTGGCTCAGCAGTTAAGAACACTAGTTGTTCTTGCAGAAGACTCGGGTTCAAATCTCAGCACCCACATGGCAGCTAACAACTGTCCATAGTTCCAGTGTCAGGGGATCCGACAGCCTTTTCTGACCTCCATAGGCATTGCAGGACATGGGTACACTTACCTACATGCAGGCAATACATGCATACACATTAAAAAATAATAAAAAAAATCAAAAAATTATCTTTTAGAAATGATTCCTGCCAAGTAATTTTAGTAACTGTTTTGGGGCCAGATTTGTGGGGTTTGTGGAAAAGTCTGGAAGTACATTTTCCATCAAATGTTTTTCAGTAGTAGGCTGAAGCATAAAATTCTTTCTGATCAAATGTTCTCATGCCATCCACTTGTGGCAGTATGCTTTAGAGGTACTCTGCTTTGAGGATGAAAAGGCCAAGGGCCAGGATAGAAGTATAATGTCCTGGATTACCCCCAGGAGAGGTAGGGAACTGGGCTAGACTCTACTGAATTTGTGGTTCACTTGTAGCACCTCGGGGTAGCACTAACCCTGTGTGTCATGGGAGGTAGCCCAGACCTCAGAACGACATTGTCATCTATTTTCCTCCATGCGTTTTTCTTTGTGTTTTGGCCTCTGTTATTGTCTGGTAGAGCCCATGAACAGTCAGGATGGTAGCCACAAAGAGCCTAGGGGCTTCCTGATGTGGAAGATTGCAGTGCCTCAGATGTGTGGGCTGCCCATCCCCAGCATACTATGTTGGCTTGAAAGAGCGCAGGTACAGTGTTCATTTCTGGGCATTTTGCTTTGCACAGCTAGTGTAACCATAGAACTTAGAATCAGCTAAACAAGTGTTTATCTTGTTTTTAAAGTGAAGTGACTGGGTTCTTCTGATGTGGTACTTTCATTTAATACTTTACCTGCCACTTGGATAACTTTGTTAGTTGAACACTTTGCCCTCTCCAAGTTTCACTACCTGGGTGTAGCTATATATAAAAATGGAGTTTCTGGCCTAAATTCTCTAGAGTCTATGGGTCCATAGGCTAGAGGTAAAAGGGTCTGGATAAGAATTCTGTCAGTTGGCTATGGTGGTGCATGCCTTTGGTCCTAGCATTCTGGAGGCAGAGGCAGGCAGATCTCTGTGAGTTTAAGGCTAGCCTGGTCTACATAGTGAGTTCCAAGCCAGCTGGGCCTATAGGAAGACCTTGTCTTAAAAAGACCAAAAAAAATCACTCTCTGGGACTTCCTTGAGAGTACTGCCCAGATCTAGAGCAACAAGCTATCACTGGATGAGAACCATTTCTGGGGTATGCCTAAGAGGCTTGTTAGTCAAGGCCTGAGGTCCCAGCAGTTTTCAAAGCTTATGATAACCAACATATCCTTCATGGGAGCAGATGATACAGGTGGTACCTATGGAGGTATCCGCATATGTTGTGCGTGTACATGGAGAAGACATAACATTTTCTTGGTTTAATGTAGCCCTGGGCTTTACTAGTTCTAGAGTCACTGGGTAACTCACTTCACCCAATTGAGGAAATGTGGTTAAAAGCACCAAACCCTGTCTGATGCAGTGTTATACCTGCTCACCCACCCTGCATCCCTGGCAGAGATTCTGACTGACCTGGTGCCTGATTCTTCCCAAGGACTAAGTTCTTCTTTGGATCTGGCCTCAGGTTATCCACAGTCTAAGTTAGAAATGGATGTGGAGACTCAGTTTATATGAGTGCCATGACAGGGACACACAGGGATCAGCAGGAGGTAGTGCCCCGTGAACAGAGCTGAGGGCTGCTACTGTCATCATCTCACCATGGTGTGCTTAGATACCAGACACATGGTTGAACTGCAATGCTGAAAGTATCCATTTTAATTTTCAGGGCTCATTTTGGAATAGTTATAGATTGGGTAGGTTAAAAGCTGACAAAGACAAGCATTGTGTGATGGCCTGTCACCCCAGGCAGCAGCCTGTTTCCAGAGTGACTGCCATACCTGTGGAACACACCTTAGATTGGAGAAGGCTGCTTATAACAGAGGTATTATTCTAGGTGTACTTCCGGCTCCATGCTTCCATCCTGAAGCTCCTGGGCAAACCTGATTCTGGGGTTGGTGCAGAGGTCCTGGTCAGCTTTATGAAGGAGGCAGCAGAAGGACCCTTTGCCAGGGGCGAGGAGAAGAATACACCCAAAGCTTCAGAAAAGTGAGTACTGGCTTCCTGGACCCCATGTGACTCATTTACTGCTGCATAGTGTTTAGAGGAATAAACTAAACTGGAAAAACTCAACTCAGGGAGTCTCTGAAATCTACCTGGAATCTCTGATTGCAGGGCCAAGGTGTTTCTGTTGAATTGGGGGAGAGGGTGTATGACATCCCTAGTCTCCTTACTCTGGCCTTCACTGGTGCTCGCCTGTCCTCGGGGGCAGGTCCTGAGGAGAAGCAGACCATTCCCTCCAGCTTCAGTAGAACAGAGCTTTGTCCTGGGTAAAAGATTTTAAAAGACTAGTTTTTACTTTTCCTTTTACCCAAGGCCTCTCCAACTGCAGGTGATCTCTAAGGCCAAGTGTATGGCCTGTTCTCTTAAGTGGGGTCTCTCCTCAGTGTCAGAGAGTACAAGGAAGCAGAGTCCTGGTGTGTCTCTTCTGGGACTAATCCCTGACCTCCCCTGGCATAAGTTGTCTTTGTGGCCCAGGCACCTATCACTTTGGTGTCCCTGTCCTACTGCTCAGTTTGATTCATCCCATCTCTGAGGCCTGGCCTGACTGGGCATTGTGCTGGACTCAGCTCAGAGACCTGCTCCCAGTCCCTGATCCTGAGAGCTAACTGTTCATGCCCATAAGCATTCATGTGGCCTGTGCCTCTGATAAGTATTGTCCAGCTCTGTACAAATGTTTCTTCCACTTGTGGGAGAGATGTGTACCTGGATGTTGGGTCACTCAAAAACTATAGATCTGTGTTTTCTAGATACAAAAGATCCCAAGGTACAATAATTTTCATTGATTATAATTTTTTTTTCAATTTAAAAATATTTTTATTTGTAAGTATGTGTGTGTCTCTGTATGAGTATATGCCACACATGACATGTGCTGGCATCTACAGAGGCCAGAAGAGGGTGTCAGATCCCCTGGAGTTAGAGTTACAGACAGTTGTGAGTTTCTCAGTGTGGTGCTAGGAAGTGAACTCAGGTCCTTTGGTAAAGCAGCAAGCTCTCTTAACTGCTGAGCTGGCTCTCCAGCCCTTCATTGATCATAATTTTGTTCTGAATTTTTTAAGTTATACAAATATTATGTGAATATATTCTAATTATGAGAAATTAATGCATAAATATATAGAGTAAAATGTGACAGATCCCCTCTTGTCTCCAGAGTTGACCACTGTTCAATTTCTCAAATAGTTTTTTCTATATATATTTGCACACAAATGCACACATGCAATTCTAGGTTTATTTGTTTGGGTTTTTGATGCTAAGAATCGAACCCAGGGCCTTGTGTATACTGGGCTCTGCCACTGAACTGCCTCTCCAGTTTTATTTTTTTTAATGACCAGCAGCAGCTAGGTGTGGGGATATACACCTTTAATCCCAGTACTCCAGAGGCAGAGGCAGGTGGATCTCTGTGAGATTGAGACCAGCCCCATAGACATAGAGAATTCCAGGCCAGCTAGGGCTACAAGAAGACCCTATCTCAAAACAAAGAAAAAATCCAAAATCTAAAAATGAATAACACGGCAGCTCCTTGTAGAGTTTCTGATGCATCCACTAACAAAGCCTTCTCCATGCAGCCTGCTCGCTTTCCTGTATGAGAACTAAGGAAAGAGCAACTTTTCCCTTTCTTTTCTATGTCCATTTCTTTCAAATATTGGCCAAAAGTCTATGCATGCTTTCCTTGACACTGATTTCTCACTTGTTCTCTGAGCACCCCCAGCTCTGCCCACCCCCTGCAGCAAACTTTTTGCTTTCCCAGACCCTAACTCAAATGGCACGACTGTCTCTCTCTCTACTTCTCCATCTCCCTTCTTGCATCTGTGGAGAGTTACAGCTTGCCTGCCCTGTGTTTTTCCCTCAAACTAATAAAATTCTCCTGGCACTTCAGCAAAGAACAGAGCAACTAAAGGTGCTGCTCTTTCCCTCAGCATTGGGTCTGGGACACTGTCTGTGGTACCCTGTTTGGCATGTTTTGTTTGTTTTTTTCCATCTCATACCTATTGCTGCATAGTACAGATAGCTTGCGATTTATGTGACCATTTTTATGGACAAGGAGAGTGTTTTCACCTTTTTAAAATTTTTTGCTCATCAGTGTTGCAGCAGATACCCTTGTACATGTATAAGCCTACACTAGTGCACACTTGTTTCTGTCCAACCACTTGTCAGAGATTAGATGTGTTGGGTTGTCACACAGAAAGGCTCTGATGTAGTGTGCATGGTTGCTGAAGAGAAGCTTGTCACCTGCCTTGCAAAGTCTCTGGGCCTGCAACCAGAGATGCTGTTAGAGCCAGGTGAGAAAGGTCAGACAGCATCTAGTTAGGGTCTGGAGCTGTGGGGGTAATATGAGGGCAGCTCATCTCTAGAGTACCAGCCAGATAGGGCAGGGACCACTCAAGGTGTTTGGGAGCAACAGACATTGAGAAGGATGCTGATGCACAGTAGCAAACGTTGATCATAATGTGGACATTGAGTAGTACCTCAACCCTCTGTCCCCACAGGGAGAAGGCCTGCCTGGTGGATGAGGACTCCCACTCTTCAGCTGGGACACTGCCGGGCCCCGGAGCCTCCCTCCCCTCCTCCTCTGGCCCAGGTCTGACATCCCCACCTTACACAGCCACTCCGATTGACCACGATTACGTCAAATGTAAAAAACCCCATCAGCAGGCGACGCCGGACGGTATAGTCCCTGTTCTCCCTACTGCCAGCCCAGGGCGGCACACCAATCATGGGGAGGGTGCTTGAGCGACTTTGTTTTGTCGCTTTATTTTGGCGAGGGGGGTGCTGGGTTTGAGGTGGCACGGGCAATGTTGCAGCTCTTCATTTACCTCATGGACTCACGGTGCTTCTTGTGCTTCCAAGACATGCTCAGGGTCGCCACCTGCCAGCTTGCCCACTTGGAAGGTGGGGGAGGAGCAGATCAGGCTAAGGCAGCTCGCTTCCTTGAGCCTGCATTTTCCTACCTGCAAAATAGGGGTGCTGACATCTCCTTTGAATGGCATTTGGAAGACTCTGTAGGCAGCCTAGAGTGACTCTTACATCAGTCTGCAGCACATTGTTGTGGCTCTTTTCTTTAATGGTTTTGAGTAGGTCATGAATAATGCTAAATCTGTCACTCTTAGGCATCCAAGCATTGATGGGGTCAGCTGGGACCATTTGTAAGCCCATTCCATGTGGGATGAGGCAGGTGGCGACTGTTCAACCACATTCCTTACTAACATTAGGAGGCTTGCATGCTGGCCTATAGCTTAATTTTTTTCATGTTCTCACCTTTACAGTGACAAACTGGTGACAAAGTACTTCCTGGGATACACAAATTGATGGATTTAGAGGGTGATTAAAGTGGAACCCTAGAGAGGGGCACTAATGCTGAAAGACACTCTCACTCCCATGTCACTCATCTCATCTGGGCTGTGGGGAAACAGGCCTTGCTTTGCCTTCCTCAGAATGATGACGAGATACTCCTAGGTGGGTGGGATTTGCCCCAGGACTGTGCCCCCTGCCGGGTGATTCTTACAAGAAAGATGGGCTTTCTAGGTGCCATGGTAGGTTTGACTTTGAGATCCAGCTGAAAGCTGAGGGCGCAGAGCTTGCACTACTTTGTCCAGCATCCTGCTGATTCCTGCCCGGTGTACAGATTCCTGAAGAGCATGGGCATCTGCTGAAGCTTGTTGAGCCAGGAGCAGGATCTGAAAAGCACTGGTGAAGGATGACACAGTGGCTAGGACTCTGTTCCTCTGGAGCTGGTGTTTAGTGATTTACTGAGAGAACAGCAGACCTGCAGCATCCCCTCCTGGGTTTGGTTTGGGGGCTGCAGCATGTGCATTGAAAGAGACTAAAGATCTGTGCATGTGCCGTCTCTCTTACTTCCCAGTGGGTTGTCTGTATACTAGTCCCTGTGTTCACAACTCCCCAGAGCTTTGAGCAGAAGTGAGAGGAGCTGACCTCAGATCCTCCAATCTCCAGCTCTGCAGATATGTCTATGTAAGAGCCTCTTCCCCTTATTACTTAAATTAATTGGGAGAACTGCCCTGTTCCAACCTTTCACTCTTGAAGATACTGAGAAAGCTTGTTAGCAGTAAACCCTTGTTCTGGAAGTTAGTTCTTGCTAGTTACTTCTGGTGAGGATTCAGCACCAGGCCAGTTTTCAAGAGAGAGGACTGTCTTTTCCAGTGTCCATGTGTCACGTGTCCCTGTTGTCATGTGTTCCTAGGCTGGGAAATACCAGCTCCAGCCCTGCATCTCCCTACTTGCTCAGATTACAGGATTGCATATGCTTTTAAGAGCAAAAAGGATAGAGACAGTAGCACCTCAGAAAGGGCCAAGGCACTGATGGCCTTGCTGTCCCATGTGGCCACATGTATGTCCATAGAGCTATGAGGGACCTCCTACAGAATGCAGGAGCTAGGCATTGGGGATGGCACGTTCATCGTGCCAGCCTAACAACTATTTGTTCTGCAAGCTTGCAGAGTAAGTTCAGATATACTTTCAGTGGTTTCCAAAATAATTCCTGTCAAGATCATAGAGCCACTGGGTTCCCACAGTCCACTTTTGTCCAGTCCCAGTCCCAGTGTATGGGGAAACATAATGCTTTCAAAACCCTCAGCTCTCACTCTGTACCTTCAAGGGAAAGCTGTCGCAACAGGAAAATATTTAGGGCCCTAAAATAGCTATGCTCTTCAGGTGCTGTGGTGGCCTTTTCAGCAGTTGCTGTGGTTCTCAGGGAAAGGTCTAGACCCCAGGCAGAAGCAGCAGCATATTGCAAGTCAAGGGATTTGCTGATAACATGGGGCTACACTGTCCACTGCTACCCCTGCTTCATGACCTGACTCTGGGAGGGGATGTGTGGCTCCTACTCAGATTCTCAGCCAGAGACTTCCAGTGGGACAACAGAGACATTCCTTTGAGTCAGCAAAGCACTTCCTTTGAGTCAGAGCCTACTCCTCCCACTGCATAGAGGGTAATGGCTGCTTCTAGCCTGGTACCACTGAGATTAGGGAACCGTTTGAGGTCAGATGGAGAGGCAAGGTCAGAGTAGACCTTGGAGTCAGGAGACATCTGAGCTCTAATCCTAGTTCCATTGATTGTATACTCAGCTTCCTCAGACAACAGCCTTTACGTCTTTGCCCCATGCGTATTGAAAGTGTTTGTACAACCTGGCCTCCTCCTCCATGCAGTTTTTCAGTTCATCAGCGAAGCTGGTAAAAGAACTGAGTAGCTCTATATAGAGTGAGAAACCAGACCCTGGGGTGCATCATCATTCTTGGTTTTTACCACAACTCTCTAGCTGGATTGTGGCCTTAAAAGATGTTCAGGCAGGGGCTGGAATGATGGCTCAGTTGTTTAGAGCACTGGCTGCTCTTGCAGAGGACCCAGGTTTGATTCCCAGCACCCACATGGCAGTAACAACTGTCCTAACTCCAGTTCCAGGGGAATCAGATGCCCTTTTTGACCTCTGCAGGCATTGCACAACATAGGTGCACTTACACACATGCAGACAGTACACTCATAAACATAAAATAAATAATAATGATAAATTATGTATATATATTTCATCTTTTTGAGACAGGGTCTCCCTGTAGCCCTAGCTGGCTTGGAACTCACTATGTAGAACAGGCTGGCCTTGAACTCACAGAGATCTACCTGCCTCTGCCTCCAGAGTGCTGGGATTAAAGGCGCCTCTGCCTCCAGAGTGCTGGGATCAAAGGCCCACCGCACACAGCTATTACACACACACACACACACACACACACACACACATATATATAATTTTTTTTTAAAGGTGTGCAGGCAGTACCAAATGAAGCATCAGCCCTTAAGTGGGTCTGGCCATTGGGCTTGCTGGGTCCCAGTCTCCCACCTCACAGGGCCTTTCTGATGATTGATTTGCCACCTGTGGGAGAAGTCCAGCATCAGGACTTGGGTGTGGTTAGAAGTCACAGCATTAGGGCTCTGTTCTCACTTGGTATACCTTTGCTTCAAATGTAAAAATCACCTGAAGTCGATTCTGATTTGGTGTAGGATTTAGAAAAATAGTTCCAAGTGGATATAGGCAACTTGTTGTTTGATAATGGCTGCTTCCTAAGACCCAGCTTCACTTTCTAAACTGCTCCCACCTGCAGCCTTGTGCTGCCTGCAGTAGAGTTAGGCACTTGCAACCTGTCCACATGTTTGGTAAAAGCTTTGGAATTGGTTCCTCAGGCCTCTCTGAGGTCACTAGCCAATCATTACAGCCAGTCCTCCTCAGCAAGGCCACAAAGGTACCCTAGACTGACCAAGCTGAGAGAGAGGGAGAGAGAGAGAGAGAGAGAGAGGGAGAGGGAGGGAGGGAGAGAGAGAGAGAGAGAGATTGGCTAGCTAGTATAGCTGTTCTCTCTGGAGACCCAGCTAACTTCTTCCTCCCATAGATCTCTTGGAACTGGGTCATAATACTTAAATGCTTTGTGTTGATACTTCTTGTCTAGGAAAAAAGTGACACAGGGAATACATTGTGACCTTTAAGGGGTTCCCAGTGATTGCAGAAGGTAATAGCTGAGTGGAAGCTCTTGCTCTCCCCCATTGGTGCAGGTTTGTGCACACATGTGCATATGGTGAGCAATTAGGCTCTTACACCAGCATTATGTACACTCGGTGCCAGGCTCCAGGCAGGTGCCTGCAGGGTAGTAGGCTCCACAGCCACTGTCAGGCTTGGCTTTATCCCTGTTTCTCTAAAAGGAAATCAAGCTGAGAGCAGGCAGGTCTTCCTGCTAGTTGGGGCAGAGCTGAAGAAGAGCATGGTCTAAATCTCCTTCTCCCAGGACAGGTGTGAGGCTGACTTGGTAGATTTCATCTCTTTGTATTTCCTTCTTTCTTAGAGGTGCGTAATTGGAGGTTCATGATGCAGGTGCATTTCTAAGCCACTTGGGCCCTCACTTGATCTGGCTTAATTGGCTTTCAGGATGTGTCTATAGCAGCATTTGTTGGATGAAGAGCCTCTCTGTCTGTCTTGGTGCATGTCACCTCAGAGTGCTACAGCCAGGAAGGACCTCAGAGAACAGTGACCTTGCCCTGTGGTCAGTCTGGGGTTCTTTAACCAGCTTGTGGCCAAATCTATCCATGTATTTTTGCAGCACTGTGTCAGATGCACAGAATAGCCCTCATCCCTCCTGCAAGATAGAGAATGCAGGCTCAGGTCAGTCAATGACACAGCTGAGGGTTGGGATGAACCAAATTCAGCACCAGAGGTGAGTTTGCATGTCAGAGATTTGGCTTAGCTAGGGGTAGGAGACCAAATTGAGCCAAGTTTCGTGGACTGTGTTGGCAAAGGGATAAGAATAAAGCCTTGGGAGCTGGCTTCTCAAGTTGCAGGTGATGCCCACTCCACCCCACTGTCAGCATGAACAGAGCTGCCCAGGAGTGCCATGACCCAAGTTGTAGAGGGTAGGAACCTAAGGTGTACCACACCCTCTTCACAACCATCCATCCTCACTACCATGCTGTTACTGTCTTGTGTGCCATCTGTGCCCATCTCTGCCTGTTCACCCCACACTGCCTCCACCAATATTGCCCGTGCTGCCCCTAACCCTGACCACACTCTGTTCTCCAGGCTTTGTCTTTCTGCTTGCACCTGTCACGGCTCGCTTCAGGGAACAGTGCAGACCGCATGCTCAGCCCTCAGTCCGGCTCCCTGCATCCCCTGTG